GTCCTCAGGTCTGTTTCTTTGCCAGTATCATGCTGTTTTTATCACAGTAGCTTTGTAGTATAGTTTCAAGTTGGGGACTGTGATACCCCCTGCCTACGTCTCTGTAACCTAGAATTGATTTTGCTATTCTGGGTCTCTTCTTGTTCCCAATGAATTTTTGGATTGTTTTCTCAAGGTCCATGAAGTATGCTGCTGGGATCTCAACTAGGATTGTATTGAATCTATATAGCAGTTTTGGAAGTATGGCCATTTTCACTATATTGATCCTTCCTACCCAGGATCAGGGGATTAGACCACTTGGTTTTGGAGACTGACATTAGAGGCTACCCATCATGATGACTATCCTTAGCACAGCTACATCCACAGGGCCTTTGGCATTTCCCTCTGATCACTGTGTAATCCTGTTTCAATGATAAGGCCAAGTGTCTCTAGGAACCTCTTGGCCAGAGCAGTGGTTCTCAAAGTGTGGTTCCAGGGCAAGGCGGACAGTCACTGAGCTAGAGCTGCAGAACGGTCTTTTGACCCTAACCTCTCCACTGTGCACACATGGGACTCGTGTGTAGGGGAGGCCCTTGGCCTGCTCTGTCTCAAGAAGCTGGCATTTAAGAGGACAATGTGTACCTTCCTGGGCTGTGGGAATCACTCATGAGAAATCAGGTCATTTGGTATAAACAGGAAATCAATGATCTAGAACTGGTATACCATGCTATTATGTTGTTTGGGAATATTTATCCATATACCCTCCCCCCACCACACACAGAAGAGCCTTTCACTAAGCAGAGAGAGAGAGTGAAGCATGTCAGGAAATAAAGTAGATAACGTGTTGCATTTTGTGCAATGTGTCACTTTTGTCAATAGCTGGCTGAAGTAAAGCTCTGAGTTATGAAATGTGTTACCTGTTTGTGGCTGAGCATAGTAACTATCTAACATCTAGGTGCATTAAAATGTAGGTAACTCTTCAGGGAATCAAGCAGTGGTTTTCTTGCTTGATGAGGAGGAAACTGCCCAGCCCTTGGCCTCTGGTGATGACCTTGGGGTGTGAGCACATCCTGTCACCATTGTGTGTATTGTAAAGATTTCAAGAGCTTCAGCATTGCGCTGCAAGTTCAAAGGACTGGGGAGAGGTCAATGCAGTTGACTTAACCTGTTTGCTTCTTCTGCCCAGTCCATCTTTAGGAAGCTTTCTGCAACAGATCTAAAACACAACAGAGAGTTCTGGGTCCCCTGAAGATGGGGAGATGGAGCTGCTCCTCTCCAGTTTCTCACTAGGGAGGAAGGGGATATACTTGCTCAAGTGCACAGCCACATGCCTGTGGAAAAAGTGGCGTAGGTACTTCTGGAACCTCTCACCCACGAAGGCATAGATGACGGGGTTGACGCAGCAGTGTGTGTGGGCGATCACCTCTGTCACCTGCATGGCCACGTCCAGCTGTTTGCTCTTCTCACAGTCGTTCAACAAGCTCACTTGAAAGGCAGAGAGAAGGAGCACCAGGTTGTAAGGTGCCCAGAAAACAAAAAAGACCACCATAATGACAAAAATGAGCCGCATGGCCTTGTACTTCTTTTTATTGGGACATCTCATCAGTGTTTTAATGATTCCTGTGTAGCAGACAATCATAAGGAGCAGAGGAAGTGCGAGGGCAAAAATGTTCATCCTGAGAGCTTGGAAACGCTTCCAGTGGTCTTCTTCATTCTCTGGGTAAGCAGGGCCACAGAAAAATTCTTCGAAGTCCCCCTGGGTCCCCTGGAAGATGAACTCAGGGAGGGCGGCTAGCCCCGCCAGACCCCAGGTGATGACACTGGTTATGACACCAAAAGTCACAGTCCGGGCTCGCAGGGCAAACACAGCATGGACAATCGCCAGGTACCTGTCGATGGTCAGCAGGATAATGAAGAAGACCTCACTGTACAAGCCCAAGTAGTAGAGCCCGGAGATGAGCTTACACATGAAATGGCCAAACATCCAGTTATTCCACATAACATAGTGAATCCAGAAGGGAAGCGTGAGGAGGAAGAGCAGGTCAGAAATGGCCAAGTTGAGCAGGTAGATGTTGGTCATGATCCTGAGCCTCCTGTACTTTGCGAGGATCACTATCACCACCACATTTCCCAGGAGGCCAACAATGAACACCAGGGAATACAATGGGGGCAGGAACTGGGCCCCCAGATCCCGGATGCTGATTTTGAAACAAGGCAGTGCAAACACATAGTCATAGGTTGTGGTCCTATAGGACTCAGCTTCAAGCTCGGCCTCCTCTGGGTAGGTTGCCATTCCACTGGTCCCTGTGATGGAAGAAACAACAATCCCATAATTAAGCACACTCATCTCTGGTGAAACACGCCAGTGAATTGTTCATCCACCCAGCAGAGATGCGACATGCAGCCTGGGCATTGGAGAGGTTCTTTAGCACACATTTCAAAAGCTGTATCAGAAATGCTATGAGGAGGGACCAGGAAGTGAGACCTGAAGATGCAGGGATGGCAGGCAGATTAGGGCAGGGGCCTGGGTAAACTGAGATATGAAGCCTCAGGAAACTGGAATGCAAGGGACAAAGTTAGTGCCTTGCATTCTGCTAATGACAAGGAGCCCAGCAACAGTGACAACTGCATACCTGCATTTTCACACACTTGTCACATTTAAAAACGGCACCTGGTGACACCTGCCAATGGCAAACTGCCTCTTTCATGCACCAAAGGCTACATATGGGCCCCTACATGTAGGTGCTTCCTCTCTCAGAGGTCCTCTTGGCTAGACAGAGCTTTTCTTTGTTCTTTCTAATAAACCACACCCAGTCCGTTTCCCACTGCTGTGCTGTCAGCCTCATTTCCTCGTTGTTCCCAGGACAGGGAAAAATTGGTTGTAACTTTGGTGTCCAACATGAAGCTCAACTTGTCTATGGAGCGTAAATGTGGTGGAATGGCTGGCTCTCACACACACTCTTTTTCTATCCTTGTTATGTTCTAAGAAACACTAGGTACCTGCTGCCAGTTAGAAGCTACCAGAGTGGCAGCCACTCTTGAAATTAGGGAGGGACCGGCTCCCCAGAAAACTCCTACTCAGTGCTCCACTGATTCCCAGGGACACTGGAAATGTTGGCCAGACAGTGAGCTGGATTCTTTTCTGAGGCAGATTTCTGGATGTGGGACTTGCAAAAGTTGGGGTGACAACTTCAAGAGTCGGGTGGGAGCTAGTCCCTGGTGGGTGCCCAGAGGTCCTTGGTTGGAACCTGGGTCCTGGCAGCCTGACTGGGTATTCAGCAGAGAAACCTGTGCTTGCCTACTGCGTCCAGACTGCATGCCTCTGTGAGGTAAGAGGTGCTCTCTGGGTGTCCCCTTTTCAGAGTGACCTGAGACCCCTCAGTCAGAGCCCTCTCATAAACCTCCATCAAGGCTGAGGGGGAGTCCTTAGGCCTTGGTCTCATCACAGCACTCTGGAGATGTGTTTGGTTCTAGTCCAGAACCTTCTCCGGTGCTCTTCAAGAGCCAACTTCCGACCCTGTCTCATAGACTCCACGTCTGGGGGTGGGGCTGCCTCCTGAGTTGCAGTCAAGTCGGTTACTATAGAGACTGATACTCATTATACAGAAACTGATACTGGAATACAGACCGTATTCATCAGTTCCTCCAGTTCCTGAGAGAAAAACTCCTGCCCCTCTGACAGTGACCACCCAGCATCCTGTCCCTCCTGACTGGAGGTGGGGCTGAATCCTCACCAGGTCCTTCGAGACTCCTGGGAAGCCCTCAAAGGGTAGGTTGCCCAGGCTCAGTTGTCCATCCTGAGGATCAGGCCCCAGATGCTCCCTCCCAGGATTCATCGGCACATGGCGAGACCTGTGGAGGGGTTCCTCTCCTGCTGTTGTGAGCAAGGAGAGGTGGAGAAGAGAGAGCAACAGGGGATGGAGGGGAAACCTCTCCTCCTGTGTCTCTTACAGATGGGGACACTGAGACTCAAAGTTTTCTGGCTCCTCCCCACTGGACTACACCCTTAAGAAGAGGGAATTGTTTGACTCTTAAGATTTGGAGGCAAGGTGGCTAATCTTCCATACATGCACACAGTGGGGCTACACCTTAGGGGATGAAGAAAAGTGGCCACTAGGAGGGAACATCAGTTATAATACAATCCTCTAACTAGACCTATTTTGCAAAAAGCAGGGTAATGTCCCAAAGCGCCTTATGTGCAGGATTTCTTTGCTTTGAGGGACAATCCTGAGCTCTGCAGGTCATGTTGCATAGACTCAGCCCTGTTGACAGCTCTTACTCCTATACCTCAGGAGACCCTCCTCCCCAGAAAACTCTCCTGCAGGGTCTTCCCATCTTCACCCCCTCCCCTCCCAGGGGGACCCTCCTAAAGAGCCCTTCTATCCACCCAATCCTGGGCCCCCAATTCATGGGTAAGAACAAGGACCCTCACTTTGATTCCCCTCCAGGTGATGGGGACAAAGCTAGAGGGGACCTCCATATGGGCTCATGTCCCTTTCCCCCTGGGAGACCTTCAAAAGATCAAAGCAGACCTGGCAAGTTCTCAGAGGACTCTGATAAATATCCAGGGTGTTCAGAGAACTGTCCCGTAACTATGAATTTTCATGGAGAGATGTGATACTTCTTTTAAATTCAATCCTCTCTGACTCGGAAGGAGAGGCAGTTCTGAGAGAGGCATGGATGTATGGGGATGAACTATGCCTAGCCCAGAGACCAAGTGAAGGCCAGGTCCAGGCGGGGCTCCTGGCAGTTCCCCAGCGGGACCCTATGACTTGGTGGAATGAGGGATCTGGAGACACAGACATTGCCTGAACTGTGTATTAGAGGGCCTCTGTAGGACCTGAGTCAGACCTCTAAACCATTCCAAACTATCTATGGTGATCCAGGCAAAGGAAGATAGTCCCTCAGCCGACCTCAAGTGACTCAAGGAAGCCCTAACCAAACACACCTCCCTGCGATCTGAATCACTTGAGGGAAAGCTTATTCTGCAAGATAAATGTATTATCCAGTCCACCTGCATCATTCAGAGAAAGCCACAGAAGGTAGTGGTCTTTTTCAATCAAGATCAACAGGATGCCAAGCAGCAGAACTGAAGGGATAGGAATGAGGCCACCTCCACAGTGGCTGCCCTACAGACTCACCCTACCAGGGGTCCTGGGAGTCCTTCACAGGTAGATGTTATAAGTGTGGAAAGCCAGGATACTTCCAAAAGGAGTGCAAGTGGCTTCTGCTGGACCCTGTCCTAGCGTCCAAGGAGACCACTGGAAGGCTATTTGTCCACAGATGAAGGTCCCAGGGGTCAAACTGGGCTGACATAATGATTCAGCAAGGTAAGGAGTTTGGAGTCTTCACTTGTGGTTCCCAGGACCCAAGACAAAAGGCCATCACAACAGCCTGTCAGCTACCTAAGCAAAGAGCTAGATGTGGTTGCCAAAGGCCAGCCAGCCTGTCTTCAGGAAGTTGCTGCTGTTGCCCTGCTAATTCCAGAAGCTACCAAGCCTACCTTGGGTAATGAGCTGACTGTGTCCTCTCCTCAGCATATCTTAGGACTGCTGTCCTCCAAAGGAAGCTCTGGCTCTCAGACAGCCAACTCTTGAGGTATCAGGCTATGCTGCTGAAGGAACCTGGTGTTCAAATAAGAACTCACCCTTCCTTAAACCCTGCTACTTTTCTTCCAGAAGAACAAGGAGAATTAACCCCTGATTGTAGCTAGGTGGCATGGAAACTTATGCCACAAGGGGAGATTTGAGAGATTACCCATTAAAGAGTCCAGATTGGACACTCTTCATAGATGGAGCTCCTTCATAGAACAGGGTGTTTGAAGAGCAGGATATGCAGTGGTGTCCTTCACAAAAGTCATAGAAAGCTCATCCATTTCTCCAGGAACAAGAGCTCAGCAAGCAGTAGTTGCTCTTACTTGGGCTCTTACACTAAGCAAAGGGAAGAGGTCTAACCCATACATAGACTCAAAGTAAGCCTTTCTGGTCCTTCATGATCATGCTGCCATCTGGGAAGAACAGAATTTCCTCACAGCCATGGGGTCCCCAATAAAATATCACCAAGAAATCGACCACCTGGTGTGTGCATTATTCCTCCCCCAGGAGACAGATGGTAACCCACTGTACAGAGCACCAGAAGGGAGCAGATGAAATAACAGATGGAAATGAGATGGTCAACACTGCAGCTCAAGTGGCAGTGTGAGAACCCCTACTGGACAATGCCACTTTAAATCCTTTACTCTGAGAACATTCCCCAGGAGAGGCTGAGGCCCAGTACGCTCAGGTGGAATCTGAAGAGGCTCTTGGCAATGGGCTGCACTCACAGCCCTCAGGATGGTTCCAAACAAATAGGGAAAGTTGCTCTTCCCAACAGCTGGTCAATGGAAGGTCCTTCACCAATCCTTCCACTTAGGGAAGGAAAGGACTCGTCAGATGGCAAATCAACTATTTACTGGCTCAGACATTGAAATTACTATAGATCGAATTGTCAGGTCATGTGAGTTGTGCCCCAAAAAACAACACTTTCTGTTTCACAGGAAGGCTCCTGCTGGCATCCAACAAGAAGGGATGTACCCTTGGGAAGGCTGACAGATAGATGTAACCTGCCTGCCCAGAGTAAAGGGGACCCAGGTCCTCCTGGTCTGGGTAGACACATTCACTAGAGGCACAGAGGCATAGAGGCATCCCCTGCAATACTGAAAAGTCCACTAGGTGGTCTGAATACTAATAAATGAGATCCTCCCTCGATTTGGCCTTCCCCAGGGGCTCCAGAGCCACAGTGGCTCACCCTTACAGGCTGAGATTCCTCAGGACATTTCAACAGCCCTGGGTACACAACATCACTGACACTGTGCATGGAGACCCAGGTGTTCAGGGAAAGTAGAGGGCCAACAGGATTTAAAAACCAATCTCCACAAATTAACCCAGGAGCCCAGGCTTTGCTGGATCCCTTGTTACCCATCACCTTACTTAGGACATGGAACTCCCTTCAGCATTGAGGCCTCAGCCCCTTGGAGGCTCTATAGAGAAGGCCATTTCTTCCCAATGACTTCTTATTAAATCCAGAAGTAGCTGGCCCACCTCTCTGTCCCACTTCCAGAGGCCCCTCCAGGAAAACAGAGGCCCAGCCCAGAGAGGATGAGCACCATCCTGCCCTCCCATTTAACCCAGTTGACCAGGTCTTAGTAAAGTCTTTGCCCACCTCCACCCACTTCCTGGACCCAATATGGAAGGGACCTCATACAGTAATTCTCTCTACCCTCTCTGAGGCTAAGGTTTCTGGACATTGCAGGAATCCAA